TGCAATTCCCTTTTGAGGCTTTCCCTCCTTATGGAGGGTGTCAATGATGGTTTTCTTTGGGGTTTTCATAAGCGGCAAGCCACAATCATCACAATTATGACAAATCACGGCTTGAACTATCTTGCTTTGCATGTAATGAGTCTATCTCATATTAGTTTCACCTTTTAAGTTGCATTACTGAAATAAATGAACTTTTGCACAATATTCTAATTTTTCGAGTTTCACCTCTATAACATTCATAAGCTACTTTACTCTAAAGGCTTTAGGCAGCATGCAAGTTATGTCAAAGTATGATAGAAAACAACAATAGTATAAAAAACAATAGAATTATAAATAAAAAACCCTGGATTTCAAAGTCAGGGCTATTTTTCTGCATTATTGCAACTGGTTTTATATCAATGATGTTTTTGACAATGCTGGAAAAAGAGCATTTAGTTTAACATTTACTGGAGACTCTGGAAAATTTCTACATATTGCTGCTACAGATGTCTTACTTTAATTATAAAGTGCCATTTGTTTGCAAGGATTTGGTAGTATATAAGCCCAATCGATTGAATATGTTTGCTGGAGTGTTACTTCAGCGTGGCTAATGTGTGCCTGAGACCAACTGATCTTTTTAACAATAGATCTCTTCCAATGAATTCTTCAAGAGCAGGATAATAACCATGGAAACAGGATGGCAGAATTGATAGCTGTTTTCTGTGTTTAGGTCAACACATTGAATAATAAACAAAATAGGTTGGATTGACGCTGCTCAGAAAGCCACAAAAGAAACCTAATCAAATGTAGCATGTATGGATGTGGAGGTGCTAAGATCACATTTAACTAATCTAGTTAAGGACCTCAAGATTTGAGTACTTGCATTTCCAGCTTCTAAGTTTCCTCGAGGAAAATCAAAATTTGCGATATTATAAGTAACTAGGAATCTGAAGGCCAGATTGTCTATGTATTTGCTAAGAAGTAAACTTCTCTGCATAGACCAACTCTCCTAGTAAATAATAAAGGCAGAATAAAAAATTCTAACTAGTAAAGAAATAAAATAAATAATGCAGTAGATCTAGGATTGTAGCCTGAGATTTCTGCCTCAAAGCACTTTAGCTTCCAAGTGAAAGAAAAGGAGAAAAAAATATATTAAATCTAGTCATGGTAGTACCATCCTTAATGGTTTGAGAATAATAAACAAGTCATTTGTATGTCCTGGAATTACTATTGTTCTTGCTATGTGTGTCTCTGCTGTTTAGCATTTTCTGGCATTTTTGTTCTCAAATATTCTAATTTACTGGCTACTCATGCAGGGTGGAGATCAGTTGAAAGCAAAAGCAAATATGATTTCTCCTTGTGATCTTTCGGTCAGCAGCTCCACCAAGGAAAAAAAACATACTGTTTTCATTGTAGCAGCTGATGGCTTTCTTTTGTGAATTGAGTTGTGCCAGGAACAGCTTTGAGAAATATCTTGAAATGCTTCTCTGAAGGAAATTGCATTCTTTCTGTGACTATTTTAAAACTTGTAATTGTTTCCTTAGCCTCTGTTCAAGCCCACAAGGCTCCTGACATATAACTCTTCATCCAAGAAGCCAAGTTCTGTTTCCTGGGGATCTGAGCCATTGACATTCCATATGGCTTTCATCTAAATATGCTGAAGGTTGTTTCCATTTTGTACCTGCCTGAATGTCCATTTCTAAATGATATCCTTTCTTCAGATTGACAGGCAGCAGTTTGAAGAAACCGTACGGACCCTGAATAACCTCTATGCTGAAGCCGAGAAACTTGGGAGCCAGTCCTATCTGGAAGGCTGTTTGGCTTGCTTGACTGCCTACACTATATTTCTGTGCATGGAGACACATTATGAGAAGGTGAGCTGATTTCCTTTCCTTTCCCCTAAAAGGAAAGAAAAAGGGTAATATATACAGACTTGGAGGTTTGATGGCAGGAAAATAAATTCCACAGAAGGAACAGCATCTAATCCCTTGCAATAAAATACTGGAAAGGCATCATGTTAAACCTCTGTTATTAAAATGCCCTCCCCCCCCCAGCAGGATGTGATTTACTGCTTCCATTCTTTATTTCAGAATGTCCATTTCCCATTCTGACTTTCTGACAGTAGTTATAGGGGATGTATTTAGCATGTGCTAAAAAAGCCCTCCCCCAAAAATAAGCCCTCTCCCAAACTATCAACACAGCAGCAGCCATGAGGTGACCACGCTTGCCGCCTCCTGCACCTCAAAAATAATAAGACCTCCTCAAAAATAAGGCCAAGTGCTTATTTTGGGGGTCAAAAGAAAATAAGACCCTGTCTTATTTTCTGGGAAACACGGTAAGTATTAGGACTCACTCTCCTGCATCTGCTCCTCTGTGGTAGAGCTGTATCACATGATAAAATATTTTAGTACAAATCGAAGTGTCTACCTATGGAAAAAATTAACTATTATCAAGAGGAAGGCTAGATTAGCACAGGTGCTTTCTGTCTGTTTCGTACTCTTTAGATAGGGAAATGTTCCATTATGTGTGTTTTTTTCCTTCCAGACAAGACAGCGAGTGGTTTATTTGTTTAATAGCATAGCACTTAGACTTATATACCGCTTCACAGTGCTTTGCAGCCCTCTCTAATCGGTTTGCAGAGTCAGCCTGTGACCCGACAATTGCGCGATAAACATGCGCACCGACAAAATAGCACCGATTAAAACGCGATGTCAAAATTGTGCCGACAAATTCGCGACGACAAAAGCGCGATGACAAGCACAATAAAATCGAAAAAAAATTAGGGTTAGAGTTAGGGTTCTAATATACGTATACACGTCCCACTATGTTAAAGACCCAGCACACTCACTGGGCTGTCTATAGTTTGTTGATGATGCAATTTTGTCAGCGCGCATTTGTCGGTGCGCTATTGTCGAAAATCAATTAGTGATTTTGATGGCGCTCATTTGTCGTCGCGGTTTTGTTGGCGCACATATGTCTATTGCATATTTGTCGATGAACCAGTCAGCCTATTACCCCCAACAGTCTGGGTCCTCATTTTACTCACCTCGGAAGGACGGAAGGCTGAGTCAACCTTGAGCCTGGTAAGATTCAATCTGCCAAACTGATGGCAACCAGCAGTCAGCAGAAATAGCCTGCAGTACTGCAATTTAACCACTGTGTTACCACAGCTTAATTCTTGTGTTTATTTGCCACAACATTTTTAAAAAGAGACTTCTTGTAGTTTACACCACAAAAACATTAAAAACTTTATAAAGCAGTGAAATTATGAAAGCTAATAAAAACACAAACAACTATCAAAGTGATAGGCAAATAGTATATGTAAACAGGGTGCTGCCAGGAGATAATCACAGTGAAATCTGGTTCCTGCATTTTGCCAAACAGACAGTGTATTGTGTGAACCTAATCATTCTAGTTTATAAACCATGATTTATGGCTTCGTTCAGTGTTTTCAATTACTTTTGAGTGACTCAAAAGAACATTAATATAGCAGAAGGGAGCACCCCCAGATTCTGAAGGCAAGCCATTCCACTGATTTTAATTGTTCTCACTGCCAGGAAATTTCTCCTTGGTTCTAGGTTGCTTCTCTCTTTGAGTTGTACTTTAATAAATCTGGGAAAGGCTCTTCCAACTTCTTTTTCACACAGTCTTTGTTTCTTAAAAGTGTTGTCTTGCCTTCCTTTAAAGAACTAATAGAATACCTAGGGAACCTTCCCTTTATGCTTCTAGCAGCGTTTAAGAATAGAATATATTTTTTATTGGCCAAGTGTGATTGGACACACAAGGAATTTGTCTTTGGTGCAGATGCTCTCAGTGTACATAAAAGAAAAGATACATTTCTCAAAAATCATAAGGTACAACACTTAATGATAGTCATAGGGTAGAAATAAGCAATCAAATCATATTAGAAAACAATATAAATCCTAAGAATACAAGCAACAAAGTTAAAGTTCTGAAGTAAGTGGGAGGAGATGGGTGATAGGAGCGATGACAAGACTAATAGTAATAGTAATGCAGTCTTAGTGAATTGTTTGACAGTGGTGAGGGAATTATTTGTTTAACAGAGTGATGGCATTCGGGGGGAAACCATCCTTGTGTCTAGTTGTTCTCGTGTGCAGAGTGTATAGCGTCGTTTTGAGGGTAGGAGTTGAAACAATTTAAAACAGTGTAAAACAGGAGAGAAACAAATCTGGTTTAAAATCAATCAATGAAATCCATGGTTGGGTGGGACTTGAACCTGTCTCTCCCCAGTTTCTGTTTAGGTATCTGATCACCTCCCAGAAGTTTAGTTTTCATCTTCTCCCTTGCCCTCTAATAACCTTGACTTCTATTTCATGCCCGCATCCTACGGAGGCTCCTTTTGAGAACAGCATGGTGCTATGAAGGCTGCCTCGATACCCTTCTTCTGTTTCACGTAGGGTTTATTGCCATAAATCCAGTCCCGAAAATAAGTTTCCTCTCGGCGCTTCCATTTCACACACCTATTGCCCCTACCAGCTGGTGGGCTTTTCTGCCATTGATAACATTTCAGGGTGGCCTTCCTGGAAAAAAAAAAGTGAGTGGCATTTTTTCCATCCACCAACTTTCCTGGCCTTAAAACCCTTCTTTTTGGCCAGGTAATGATCTTCAGACATTTTTATTAAAAAGATCGTATTTTCTCAGAAGTCAGCATGACACGGTTCCCTGGCTCTGCCAAGGAGAATCAGTTTCACGCTAATTGCTTCTGCGCCTGATTTTATATCATCAGGATTTTGTGCAAGACTGTGGATACTCTTGAGTGTCTTTGTGGCATTCTCTTTTTGAAAATGGACACTGAATACACTTCGTTCCAGCCAAGTTGGCTTTCAAAATCTCGCCTGTTCTGAACTTGGGATAAAATACTTTCCAAGCACCACATTTCTGACTGAGGATAATCTCTAGTTCTAGTTGAAAAGAACCTTTTACAAATATTTTAAATGATACGTGTTGTGGATAGTCAGTTGTGATCCAGGCAACCCGCATTCCTTTCCGATTTTCCACTGGGGTTGACAGCAAGGGTGCATTGGCCAAAGTAGTTGCTGGGAGCATTGTCTCAAGAGAATATTTTTGTATGTGTGCCCAGTTGTGTAGAACACAGTACCATTATTGCAGGGAGAGGTCGTAGACCAGGGATCGGCAACCTTAAACACTCAAAGAGCCACAAAGGCCCTAACCGGAAGCTCCCTGTTCAATTCTGGAGCCGACCGGAAGTACAACTCTCCCACCACAGAGTCTCCTCCAAGTGTGCCATCCTTTTCACACTACCTGTCCTAACCAAAAGCCCTATCAATTGTGGAGCCCACTGCAACAGGGAGGCGCAGCAGAGGGATGAAAGAGCCACATGCAGTTCCAGAGCCGCGAGTTGCTGACCCCTGTCACAGACAGTTGTGAGAATATTTTGCAGGTAATCTGTGTGTTAGGAAGCTGAATATAGACAGGCTTGGTTAATACATGGGTGAGAGACTATTGGGATGTGAGCTAGACTAAGAAAACAAACATTATGGCAGAATGGCAAAGGGTCTTCCACATTGCTGATAGGAAAATTGTAGGGTTTTTTTCAAGGAAGCATCCAGGAAATCACCATGAGTTGACCTGATGGTAAAAGACTATTTTTTTTTTGGTGGCTGTAAACAGTTTTGAGTGTAGTATTAGTGTTCTGAGCTACTTTATACATTATATATTATGAATGTGTATAATATTTTGAGCTAAAATGTGGTGTGCTCCTGTTTGTGGCACAGTGTGATGTGTGTACACAACCAGTCTTGTGCAAACCAAGACAATTGTGTTAGTTCATTAAATGATGGATGAGTGATTTGGCTTGGTTGGCTGGTTGGTTGATTAAACATCGGGATG